CACCAAACAAAATTCTTTATAATACATTAATATGCATCTTACTAACAAAACTACCTAATACTCATATAGATATTGCTACTAATAATAAATACTTCTCAATATTAGCAAACAAAATTTACAGTACTCCAACACACTAGATACAAGAAATCTACAAACTAAACAACTGGCCAGCCTAGCTAACACTCAAAGTTGTAACAGAAAAGAAAAACCTAAATTGGCACTGCACCTATACACAACATATTAATAACTCTGAGAACATACTAAACTTAGTTCATACTTTTAATATTAACTTCTAAAATACCAGAAATGATACTACATATATAGCTTGGTCTAATACTATAATTGAACACAATCCCCAAAGATTTATCAGACATCTAACTAATGCAAAGTATCTTGCAACATAGTATTCACAAAATCGTACTGAAAAGTGGAACCAAATATGAGAAAATATTAACTGGTCTACCTTTTACAAATTTCTTAATTTCAACAACAAATCAACTACAAGGAATACAGACCCTAAATCATCAAAGCTCAAAGCATTTAAACTTAAACTTCTCTTAGACGAACTCCCTACTCAAACAAACTTATTCAAAAGAAACTAACACAAACACTTAAACAACAAGTGCAAAAGATGTTTAACAGAGCCAGAAACTAATGAACACTAGATACTATGTACTCAAAATAAATATTTAATCTGTGATATTATCATAGAAACAGTTTACAAAATTACTAGAAAATTTGAAATACAAAATAATGAACATATACTAAATATTATCAACATTTTTAAAACTAGATTAACTAATAACAATTTAATTGCTATACAAGGTTTGCTGACATTTGACTAGGCCTAGCAAATTAATACATATACAAAAAACTATAAAAAACAAGGCAACCTTGCAGCATATATAGCAAATAATATAACTAAAAACCTATATCAAAAAATATGAGTTATATGATGCCAATCCCAACACTCAAGCTTAAGTCAACCAGAACCTATTAGGTCGAAAACCTCAATATATCTAATAAAATAGATATTACACTACGTAACAAGAACAATATGAAGAACAAAATACAAAACAAAATATTAATTTGGTTCAAAATATTTACTCATTATAATACATTACCTAACTATATTGAGAATATCATAGACTAAGTGAAGCTTTAACCCCTCTTAGCAAAGTTTAGGTCGTAGGTAAACTAGCCTGAGTCTTTAGTTTTAGAATTAACATATATACTACACCAATTTTATTGTAATGTACTCACATATAAAAATTAATAAAAAACTGAGACAAGATCTCACTTTCAAAAAAAAAAAAAAAAAAAAAAAAAAAAAAAATAAAATAAATCTTTTAAAGTTGATTTAATGAGATCAAAGTGAATAGTTATATCAAAGTTAATATCTGAGTTTGCTTGATAGATAAGTTCTGTTAGGAACTCAAGTCTTTAACTAGCTATTATATAGATAAAGAATTTAAAAGATATTTGTCTTGAAGTGAAGTTAGAGAGATTTTCTTTCAGAAAATTAAAGAGTTGAAAGGATAGTTTAGTTTGAAGTTTGGTGTTGAGTTTCATTTCTTCTGTAATAAAAAGTTAGTAAGCCAGTTGAATATTGAGTTTGGTTAAGGTTTATTAGTTTTGGTATAAGGTTTTAGTATATCTTTAGTTAAAGCATTTAAATAAGAAAGAGTTTTGTTAGAAACAGGTTGAGTTGGTATAGTATTTTTCTCTTTTTGGTCAGATGTTTTTAAAGTATCTAATTTTATATTGTCTGTGTTAGTTAATAGTATTTGGTCTCTTGTTTGTTTTTCTTTTAAAATAAGAGAAGAATCAATATCCATATTGAGTAAGATTTCTTTTAGAGTAGAAGTTGTAGTAGATAGTTGAAGTATGTTAGTATTTGTTATTAGTATTAAAGTAGTTAAAGGGTGAGAGAGGGAGTTTAGAAGTTGTTATTTTTGAAAGGTAGAAATGAGATTTTTTCTAGTAGATGAGAAGTCATGAGTTGTTAAAGATGTAGAGCTAAGGTTAGTAGAAGAAGAGAAGTTAGTAGTATTATTTGAGAAGCAAATTTAATGATATATCTCATTTTCATGAAATATTGCATCATTGGCTAGTTTGTGATTATTATTAGAAAGTTTGCATTTGATAAGAATCTAGTATTTTGAACAGATGTATTGACAGAAAATTAGTGTAGAAAATAGTAAGATACTTTCAGAAATTCCTTCTAAGTTTTAAAGAAAAACCTTAGATTTTTTGTTATTAAGGTTTGCAAGAAGAATAGTAAAGTTAGAGATAGAGATGTTATATTAGATGTTGTTTGCAAAAATAAAGCTAGTATAATAGATACTACAGAAGCATTAGATAATAGCAGAGGTTTTAGAAGCAAAAAGGAAATACATAGGTTTGGTATTACTTTGAAGAGTTTTAGTAAAACAAGTAATTAGTTTATTTTTGAATAGAATCAGTATAGTATTTTTTGGATCTTCTTTGTAAAAAGATACTTTGAAAGTATCAGAGCATTTTTCATAAAAGTAATTCAGATCAAGAGTGTCTAGGACTTTACTAGTTAAAGTAGATATATTAATAGTATTGAATTATAGTTGTATACTAGAGTGTGATGAAGTCAATTACAATTAGTTATATTTTATATAGATCTAAAAATATTATAAGAAAATATTATAATATGTAGATTGTATCTAATTGCTAAAAAAAACAAAAAGTATAGATTATACATATATATTATATAAAATTAGATTTTTATATTATACTAGCTTAAAAATCTGTATTCTATGTAAAATAAAAAATTTTAATATATTTATTATAACTGTTTTTAAATTTTTTTTTTTTTTTTTTTTCAGCAATCATGCTAATACTTTATTTAATCAAATTTTTGTCTACGACTAAAAACTCTATCTAGTATATTCTACTATCTAGTAATTAATTCTAAGTATTAACTCACTCGGTTACTACTTTAGTACCTAAGTGCGATCTGCTATAGTGACCTTTAACCTCTATATCTTTGGTCTCATTTTATGAATACCTAAAAGTATTTCAAAAGAAGGATGCCATAGTCCATCATGTTTGTATCTTATACCTATATATTTTTAAACCCTTCTAAAATTTCCTTTAATATACTGTTCTTTGCTAATTTAAACTTTAACTAATTTCTTTCATATTTTCATCTGTTCTTTCTACACTACCTGAGTTTGTAGCTACATTGTCTACTTCATATATCTTAATTTGTTTTCCTTTTGTTTTCCTTTTTACTATACTTGCTTTTTTCCGAGCCTTTTTTTCCTTTTGTGATATTCTTTCTCGCTTCTCCCAAATGTTCATCTCGTTACATCGTATAGACCAGACTTCTTTATAAATCTGCTCAATCTATGTATTCTAAAATATACACCAAAACCTTAAAGCTAACTTTTCTGTACCTATTATCTCTTTTACTTTCAATGTATCACTTTTATTTAGAATCTCTTGTAGCTATTCAGCATTTTGTATTCGTTTTTCTTCTCTAGAAGTCTTTCAGATAGCTTGCTTTATTTTTTGAAGGTCTCATCTTTCTTCTTTTTTTTTGTTATTTTGTATCTTTTTCCAAACTTCCTCATTTATTTTTATAAGTGCTTCTTGTGCTTCATCGCACCAGATAATATATTTATTTAACTCTGGTTCTTTGAAGCATCTTTTGCATATATTATCTTTATATAAATACGGCTTTCAAATATTTAGTGATCTGATAGTTAGAAGTAGGTTTTCGATGTATTTAACTTTAAAGGTACATATATGATTTGCCTTTAAAGTTGCTTCTTCTTGCTTATAACAACTCCTCAGTAGGTTTTTGAAGGCTTTCTAGTCCTAAGACATTATGCGATGTTGATGCTATTCATCTTTCTTTTTTCTTATCCAGATCCATTCAGCCTTATATGTTGTTTGAACTATTGTTTTGACGAAAGTTCTAAGTGGTGTATCAAGTTTACAATCCTTCCATTCTGAAAGAAATCTCATATTCTTGATGCTAATATTATTAATCTTGAGTAATAGTCTTCCTTTTACACCTTCTTTTACAAGCTGATCTGCTATATCATTGTATGTATTTCCTGAATGTGTTTTGATCTTCTGCATCTCAATTTGCAACTTTTTGCTCTTGCAAACTTTAACTATTGCTCATAGAATACTGTTATTTTTGAACTTTAGCCACTGTCTTGTATTTTCATTTTTAAGGCTCTTTGATATCGCTGCTATTGCACATAAGCTATCTGTATGAATTTCTACTGTACTATTATTTGGTGCAATTAAGACTACTATTAGATATGCTACCAACTCAGCTCATGTAGATGAGAACCATTTTTCTATTTTACCCTTATGACTACATACTATTCTATTTTGCTCATCTATTTGTACTATACTATATCCTATTTTTTGTTGAAAATCCTCTCTTTGCAATAACCTGTCTGTATACACTACTATTTTTCTCTTTTCTATATTCTTTGTGAAGCTTTCCTTTAACTTTATCTGTATATCTTTATCTCTAATCAGCTGATTTATTAATTCTGCTTCCTAGCTATTTTCAATCTGCACTCTCTCCTGATTTCTGAGTTTATTAACTATATTGTCCTTTGCTGCTATCTTTTTTAAGTTCTTTGCCTTTAACAAAACTTCCTTATTTGCTACTATATAAGGTGTATTTTCTTTCTTCCTTACTAAGTTTGAGATATCTTGTAGCTCTTTTAACTTTATTCGTCTTGTACTCTTCTCTTTTAATTTTATCTTAAACTCTTCATTATAATTATTTTCTTGTCACCTTTCATTTTCTTTGTCTTCTTCCCATAGTTCTACTTCCGCTATTTTTTTGCTTTTTCTTGTGATTCATCCAATTTCTTTTTGATTTTTAGTATTTGCCTTTAAAAGTATCCATTCTCTTTTTCTTCTATCACTTGATACTTTTAACTCAAGGTCAGTGTTGGAATGGTTTTTATCATTCTGAACAAAAAAAAAAGGAAATGGATATAATGCAAAATGCAGATATTGTTTAAGTAAATTAAGTGGTAAACCTATACAGCTTCATCAGCATATACTTCGATGTAGTGATTAGCTAGCTTCTGAAAAAGCTATATATCTTCAGAAAATTACTGAAGAAAATCTTGCACCTTGCAAACATACTCGTGATAATGAAGATAATATTCTTGCTAAACAAGATATTGAAAGTACACATCCTCATTAAAGTACTATTCTTGATTAGTATACTCAGCCTTTATCTCAAATACAATCAGAAAAACTTCATCAAAAACTTTTAAATGCTATTATTTATGGAAATATTCCTTTTAATATTATTGAAAATCCTTACTTGCAAGACTTTCTTTATGATTTAAACTCTTCTTACTATCTTCCTTCTCGAGATATAGTTGAAGAACATCTTTTAACTAAAATATTTTTTGATCATATTCAAAACAAGTTAAATATCCTTCCTACTCTAACTGACTTAACAATATCTTTAGATGGATGGACTGATAATTCTGGAAACTCTATTTATGGTTTTATGGCTCTTAAAGAGCATCAGGAAATTGTATTAGATATTCTTAATTTATCTGCATATCGTCATACAAGTAACTTTTTTAAAGAGAAAGTAAAAGAAGTCTTATTAGTAAATGATATTCAAATATTGTCTACTATTGCTATTGTTACTGATAATACTTCAAATATGGATAAAATAAGACGAATTCTTAATGTATTTTATATTTTTAATATATTATAAATATTAGTTATAATTACTAATTATACTTAACTATTAAATTTAGGATGAATATTCTAATATAATACCTATTTGTTGCTGCTTAATGTTTTTAATTTAATAGTTAAAGATATTATTAGCTTTCCTAGTATTATTTCTGCTTGTAAAAAGAACCAAAAGCTTGTGAATTTTTTTAATTTATCACATATCTGGTATTGAGAGCTACAAAACTGGTAAAAAGATCAAAAAATTAAGCACTCCTTGACAACATTTTGTGAAACAAGATGGTATTCTCTTGCTAAAGTTTGTATAGGAATATCAGCATATAAGCAAGGTTTTCAGCACTATTTAGTATTAAGTGAAACCAATCATTCTAAATATCCTGAAATTGAAAATACTATAGTAAAAAGTCTTATTCGTGATAAATATCATTTTGCAACTAATGATACAATGATGAAAGTAATTCAACTAGTAGTTGATGCAATTGGAAGATTAGAATCAAGTGATTCTACACTTGCTGATGTTTTTAAAGAACTTATTTATATCTATTAACAATTATCTCAACTTGAAGTTCCAATTGATAGTTTTCAGAAACATGCACTTGCTGTTATCAACAAACATGCAAAAGAGTTTAATAGTAATATTTACTTTATTGCATTTTTTCTATTTCTAATATATAAAAAGCTAGC